GGGGGGTTGTTTTTTGGTACCGGGGATGGAACTCTGGTCCTAGACTGAATTTTTTATGATTTCTAAGCAAGAAAACATCTCACACGCCTGCCTCGCAAGTGGAAGGTCCTGAGTTCGATCCCCATTACCAAAAGAAAACATCTCACAGGGCTGGGGATTTAGCTCCACTGCCTGCCTCAAAAGCATAAGGTCCCGAGTTTGACCCCTGCTACCAGAAAAAAAAGAAAACATCTCACAGGGGAAAAAAGTCTCGAAGGAAGCCATGATTTAAGCTAGAGATAAAGGTAGAATTAAATGGAGAAAATGAGAGCCAGGAGCAGAGGCAATAAGAGTTGTGCTTTAAAAAAAAAAAAGCTGTGCTTTAGACAGGAAATGGAAACATGGAGAGGGAAGAACTACTAGACAAGATCTGTACATTGACTGGAAGGATAAATTGATCCATGGGAAGGCACTAAGGTTTTTTTTACGTTTTGGTTTGTTTGGGTTTTGTTTCCTTTTTGAGACAGAGTCTTGCTACATAGTTCATCCTGGCCTTGACTCAACAGGGATCCTCCTGCTTCAGCCTCCCTAGTGCTGGGATTATAGGCATGAATCACCATGCACCACTGAGTTTTATTTTGGACTCTCAGTTTAAGATGTTCCGTTTTAGTCCTTCATGGTGGCACATGCCTGTAATCTCAGCACTGGGGAGGGGAGGCTGAGGCAGGAGGATTGAAGTTCCAGGCCAGCATGAAGTACATAGGGAGACCCTGTCTCAAAAAACCAATTTAGAGGGGGCCAGGGATTTATTAGCTCAGTGGTTCTGCCGCCTGCCTTGCAAGTGCAAGGACCCGAGTTCGATCCCCGGTAACAAAAAAAACAACCAATTTAGGGCTGGGATTTAGCTTAGTGGTGTTGCCACCTGCCTCGCAAGCACAAGGTCCTGAGTTTGACCCCTGTTATCAAAAAAAACCCCAAAATCCAAATGATTTGAGTTTGATCCCTGGTACCTAAAAAACCAAATGACAAAAAGATCAAAAGAGATGCTCAGTCTTGTAGGTAGAGATGTAAGGTTGTAATTTAGGATAGATGTCAGAACCAGCCTAGGTGGTCTGACCTGTCAGATAAAAGATAATGGCTCAAAACTATTTAAAAAAAAATTTTAGGGCCAGGGATTTAGCTCAGTGGTTCCAGCACCTGCCTCGAAAGCACAAGGTCCCGAGTTCAATCCCTAGTACCAAAAAAAAATTTTTTTAAACACTGGGCATGATGCTGCACCCCTGTTATCCCAGCACTCACAAGTTTGAGTCCAGCCTGGGCAATTTAGGACTTAGTGAGACCCTATCTCAAAATAAAAACTAAAAACGGGCTGGGGGTGTAGCTTAGTGTGAAGTCCAAGAGTTCAATCCCCAGTACCAAAAAAAGGAAAAACTTTTTAATTAAATAAGTGATGGTCCAGGGTTGGGTGTGTAGCTCATTTGTAGAGTACAAATTTGTATGCTTAGCATACACCAGGCCTGGATTTCATTCCCAATACTGGAAAAAAGAAAAAAGCAGATGACCCAGCCATGAACAGGAGTCAAATCCCTTTCCACCACTTGTATGATAACCCTAGGAAATTACTTAACCTCTTTAACCTCATTTTCCAACCATCATGAGATTTTTGTGAGGAACAAGTGAGTTAACACACACGGATGTTTATTTAACCAATAGTTTTACAAAAGAGCTTGATAATCTTTTTTTTTTTTTTTTCTAAATTACATTAAGTCATGTGAGTAAGATTTTGGAGGAAGACAGCAAAGAGACACTAGAGATCGCAGGGGAAAAATTTTGGAGAAATTTCATAGTATATCATCCAAAAGAGTCCATGATGAAGGCAGAGGTAAACTTAAAGAGGTAAGAGACTGAAGGCAGGGGAATGCTTTGGGGTTGGCACTGCATGGTAGAAGAATTCAGTTGGAAAATTCTCATCAAAAATGTCCATATGGCTGGGAGTGATGCCGCATGCCTGTAATCCCAGCACTTGGGAGGGAGGCTGGGGCAGGAGGATTTCGGCAAGTTCCAGACCAGCCTGGAAAACAGTGAGACCCCCGTCTCAAAAGCAATTTTTGTCTCCATGTAGTCTTTCAGTCAGAATTAATATGAAATTCAGAAAATACCTACCTGCAAAGGTTGCTCCCCTGACCTACGTAGAGAACCCCCAGACACAATCAAATAGCCTGAGCGCTTACCTCAGAAAGCTCCTGAAATCCTGAAGAACTGTCTGTATGCACTGTGAAGAAAAGATGTTAAGAGAAGGGTACTTTCCTTGCTGCCTGTTTCCCATCTTCAGATCTGAATCCCAATTCGCAACTTTATCTGTACCCTCTGATCCCCTTGATTCTCTTCCCCCTCCCTCTCTTTTCCTCAAGTCCTTTCTCCACTTAGTTCTGAAAGCTCTGACCCTGTCATTCCGGGCTCAGAGCCCAGCTCCGCACTGCCTCAGGAGAGAGGTGGGGCACAAATCTGCGCGCGACCTGTCAGTCATGAGCACCCTCTGCGCTACCCTCTGCTTCTCTGCGGGACAGGCAGTTCCTCATCCTCCCCCGCCTCTCCAGCCCTGACACTACAAGTGTGGCTTCTCCTCGGGTACCTTGTCTTGAATTTGACCTGGAAAGCCATTCTTAACCGCTAGGCTGTCAGCCCTGTGTGTACCTTTGTCATAACCCCCTGTGAGGTATCAACAGTCTGATTTCTCATCCTTCTCCATGGATACCCTTGTGAGGGCAGGAAAGATCGGTGTCTTTTTTCCTTTATACACCAGAGTTTCCCAAACAAACCAGCCTGGATTCAAGTACAGTAGTCTTTCTGGTTGGTTGGTTGGTTGAGTGTTTGAGTGTCAGTCCATTTATCGAGGATTTTCCAAAACACAAAACCTAGAAACGACAAAAGCAAAACAAAACACACAGCTACTGTAGCTGGGCCAGGGAGAGCCTGGTTCTAGAGCTCGCTAACTCAGAACGAGCCAGTTGCACTTCCCGGGGTGGCCGCTAGGGGCCGCCGGGCTCTTTGTTTTCCCTCTGGCCAGGGTCGGGGCCGGAGACCTGCAGAGCGCATGCTCTAGGGCAGTTCCTGGCCCTGTCGGCGAGCGCCGGAGTTCCCAGTCCCAGACCTGCACCGAGGTAGGTCGCGCGGGGACGCGCGGAGGGTACCAGGCGAGGCGGCGTGGGGGCGACCCCAGCCGCAGCGGGCCCGGGCCTCGCTCGGGAGCGCCCGCGACACCGTGCGGTGCGACTCCACGTGAGACGGGCGGCAGGAGCGCGCGGTACGGACGCGTGTGCTCCGGCCGGGCGGCAGGCCGGGCCCCGCCTCGCCCGCTCCGGCCCTGCGCAGCCCCTCCGCCGTCGGCCCCGCGCCTAGCTCTCCTGCGCGGGCGGGAGATTCAAACTGCCGGGCGCGCACGCCGCGGGCCCCAGCGCCGCCGGGCTCCCGTGGGTTACCCGGCATAGGTTTGGAGCCGGCGCGGTGCGGCATAGGGGCCTCTGCCCTGCAGAGGGCTGCTTTAGGAGCTCAAGGTGGCTGGTGAGGGTCCTGTGCAGGGACAGGAGCCTCAGTGTCTGTGGGCACCCAGTCGACTGTTGGCCAATTGGAGAGGTGCGCCCTGAGCACTACATCGACTCAGTGGACAAATTATTTGCTAGCTGTCCTTGCTGTGCTGCTCTTGAAGTGCCGGGGAACAATGGTGACAAGGGCGGGCCGCCTGTGGCCTTTAAGGAGCTCCGGGTCTCCCCGGGGAGACCTCACGCGAGACAGTTACAGTCCAGTGTGATCACCAAAAATGTCCTTGCAGCCCCGGCACTGCTGCGGGCGAGTCATTCATTCATCAGAAATTAGCTGAACTCCGACCTCGTGTGACTTGTGTGCCCCAGCAAAAGTTGAACGTATGGAGAGTTACGGGAACCGCAAGGGGACCCCGGAGCGTGCCCCGGGAGGTCAGGAATGACTTTGCAGGTGAGGTTTTGGTGGCACAGGAAAGGCAGACTGGAGGTGGTGGGGTCAGGGTGAGCCAGGCAGGGGCACATACAGGCAGAGACGTGAATGAAGGTATAGGTGAGTGTTGTCATTGGGAACCAACCCTGGCTCCTCGGTCCTTTTATGCCTTTGATGAAGGAATTCAGTCAAGACCCAGGCAGGCGTGCAGAAGTACAGGTAGAATTTTTTGTAAAGCAGACATAGAGATTTATGCCTTTATTGAAGCATCAAGTGAGAGTTTACTTTTTTACACTCTGAAGAGTTACTCCTGATGTTCAAGGAACTGTGGAGTTCATGATACTTATCCACATTTTTCTCAGAGATTACTTTGGAACTGCACAATATCTTCCTTCTTCTTTTCAGATGGTTAGTGTTTCTTCAGGGGTCTTAATCACTTGAGAAACTTATGAAAGAAAATACTAATTTAAGTAAGGCCTCAGCCTGAGGCAGCAGAGTCTTTAAAGAGTGTTTCCTCTTGCTGGCATGGTAGCACATGCCTGTTATCCCAGCTCTGGGAGGCTGAGGCAAGAGGATCACTGTTATTTCGAGGCCAGCCTGGGCTACATAGTTTAAAACCAGTCTGAACTACATAGTGAGACCCTGTTCTGAGATCACTGGGCCATAGGTTATGGAAACGAGATATGTTCTATTCCTTGTTCTAGAAATAGCTCTTTGTCACAATGTGTAATCTTTAAAAATCTGTTCTGTGGGGATCATTTTGCATTTGAGACCTAAAAATTGATTGTAAATGTACACGTTTCTTCATTTAACTATAACTGACAAAACATGCTCTTTTGGATACCCTTTGTCCCTGGGGCCTGCTAATGTCTAACTACCTGCGTAACATTGTGGTCAGGGTTACCACAGGGAGAAAGGGGCAGTGAGATGCTACAGCGGGGCATAGTGTGAAGGATTGGAGGGCAGGATCAGGGAACACTAGGTGGGGGTGGAGAGGATTGGGAAAGTTCTCCCCAAGAATGGCATCAGAGTGAAACTTGGAAAGATGAAATTATGAGTTAACTAGGTTTCAATTATAAAGACAACCCAAGAACTAGAATCTTCTGTTCCTAGTTGGGTGCCCTTGGGCCACCCACCCCGTCTCCCAACTCAGTTTCCTTATTGTAAAAGGAAGGTAAGAGGTATGTGGTGAAGGTTACCAGTAGAAAGCAGTGGTTCTAACATCTGGTGAGAGCTGTGGCCCCTTTCCCCAGGGAGAAGTGAACACACAGCCCCAGGCCCCAGTCTGCGAACAAAGGGGGCCCAGGGAGGAACTGTTGATGTGAAGTGTGCCAGCCCTGTCCCTGGCATAACAGCAGTTCAGCAAATTTGTTGGCCTGAGAGCCCTCTCTTCCCTCCCCTTCTGGGGGAACCTTTCACACACAGAGATTGCAGCCTCCTGGTATGGGGGAGGTAAGGGACAGCTGCCGATGTCCCAGGGCCCTTGGTCTCCCTTTGCCAATAGCAGCTGTGGTAAAGTCACAGGGATTGAAGCAGGATCACCAAGCTGTCTAGTCTGGTGCCCCTACCCCTTCATTCAACAAGTGAGGAAGTGGGTTGGGGAGCAGCTCTGCCTGTGACAGGAGTAGTCAGGAGACCTGGGGTTTCATCCCCTCTCAGTGGGCACCTTTCCCAGGGCCTGATCTCCCTGATTTATAAAGTTGAGTGGGCACACCTCAGAGGCAGGTGTGCACACTCTGGGAGAAGGTGGCACACCATGGGTGCCTGTTAGTGGCAGTTGACTCTGTATATGACTTTTAGTTATCTGTGACTGTCTCGCTCTTCTCCCAGATGGTAAATTCCTGAAGGTGGAAGTTGGGGAGCAGAGGATGGGAACAGGAGTATGAGGACAAAACACAAGTTCTTATTCCCTGTCTAGACTCGACTGGTTAAGAAAACACACCCAGTGGCTGGGGATGCAGCTCAGTGATAGACCAGGTGCTTAGCACACAGGTTCAATACCCAGCACCAAAACAAAACAGACACATGGAGCAGTCAGGGAGTCTGTAGAAAGGACTGATTTCTGCTGTTGTTGAAGATATGCAGATGCTGGGCACAGCACTCATCTTTCAGAAGGTACCTGCTCGGCCCTGGCCTGCCTCTGTGATTATGCATAACAGACTGGCCAGTGCCTAGAATCCTCCATTTTGTTTTGTTTTATTTGAGACAGGGTCTGGCTGTGTAGTTCAGGCTGGCCTTGAACTTACTATGTAGCTCAGGCTGGCCTCAAATTTGTGGCATTCCTGCCTCAGCCTCTCAGAGTGTTGGGATTACAAGCATGTGCCACCACACCCTACACCTTCTGGGGTTTTTTTTTGGTACCGGGGATCAAACTTGGGTCCTTGCTCTTACCTACTGTTTTATAGAGACAACTCAGGTCTGTGGGACTCAGGCCATTGCTGGGTGCTCTCTCCACCATAGCGGGGAGCTGTCTGTACCCATTGTCCAGGTCTGTCACCAGTCCAATCCCAGCCTCCTCAGTGTCTCCTCTCCTTCAGTTCCCTTCTGTTCTCTGCTCCTTGGATTTGGCCCTCCTGCCTAGATTGTGGTCTGCCTTTGGCCTGTTCACTTTCCTTTTTTTCTTTAAATATATATGTGTATATATATATATGTATATATATTTGTTTTTGGTACCGGGGATTGAACTCAGGACCATGTGCTTGTGAGGAGGTGGCAGCACCTCTGAGCTAAACCCCCACCCTTTTTCTTTTTTTTGCAGTGCTGGGACTCTTAACCCAGGGGTGCTCTACCACTGAGCTACATACCCAGGCTCCCTCCCCTGTGTTGTTTTGTTTTTTGTTTTCTTTCTTTTTTTTTTTTTTGGTACCTGGGATCAAACTCAGGACCTTGGGCTTGCAAGGCAAGTGCAGTGCCACTGAGCTAAATGCCTGGTCATGTTTTTTGTTCTCTTTGAGACATAGACTCACTGTGTAATCTGGGCTAGCCTTGAACTTGATATATAACCCAAGCTGTCCTTGAACTCACCATGCTCCTGCCTCAGCTTCCCAGATGCTTGCATTATAGGTGTGCACTACTGTGCCTGGCAAGATGGTATCTCTCTCTCTTTCCTTTTTTTTTTGGTACCGGGGATCGAACTTAGGTCCTTGCACTTGTGCAGCAGGCGGCGAAACCACTGAGCTAAATCCCCAGCCCTCCTTTTTTTTTTTTT